AGATTTTATGTAATACAGATAACGCAGAAAGTATAATTCCAAATATAGGATAGAGATGAACAAGATGTACTCTCATTCATTTCACAAAATGTCTTACTCACACATGCATATACTTAAGGGACAATCTCAAGTCCAGTCTATAAACTATAACAAACATATTATACTATATATTTTGGTCCTGGCAAACCGTAAGGAAGATTTCATCCATTGTATATGTAGTTTGATTTTGCATGTTACATACTAACAAAATACAGTACCTGCCCCAATTTCCTACACTGGGACCTCCTTCAACACCGAGTCCTTCCCAGAGAAGCTGCAGATACGAGGCAAAAGAATCATGGCACTATATTGACATCCTTCCTATGTTTGACATTGTAGACTCAAATTTCCAACATGCAGATCAAGCGATATATATATATATATATATAAAAGCACTTATTGTTGAGAAATTTAATAATAACACATAAAATGAAGGCCTGGATTCCCTAGGTGTAATAATCCTAGAATCCTTTTTCATTCATACCAAACCAGAGGCATGCATAATGTACAAGGAAAATTTGACCTTAAAAGTTAAAATATCTTAGCATCTCTGTTGATTATTTATTTAAGATCCCTATATAATTCAAAGGAGAAATCTGCACCACCCTTTGTTTGATCAAGCAAAAAGATTTTCCAATGCAAAGCTCAATGATGCTTGCTTTTAGACCATTTAAGTGTATCGTTAAATTTCTTTTGCATTTCAAGTAATTCTTCATCTTTAAGCCAAACTGGGTGACTGAAATAAAATGAGATATTTGATAATCATATTTTGCAATTTCCAAACATGATGAAGCTAAGAAACAATGGAGCTATGTTTGTGTCAAAGGAGAAGGGATGCTTCCAGTCACTGACTGGACATGTTAGTTGCAAAATCAGAATAAACATGTAAGACACTTGAAAAAAACACTCTAAAAGGTTGCATTTTCAGAGCATGTAGCACTTGTAGGAAAATTAATAAGAAGCTAAAAGAAAAAAAGGATAAACTTATTTTGGTATCTATTAGAGATTTAACTTGAAATAAGAAAAGCTAACTTCTGCATCATGCAAAAGACACATCATCATCATGGAGAAAAGTGGTAATGAGAGTCACTAGTGCAAAATATTAAAATCGTGAACAAAATGAAAATTGTAAAGTTCACCAAACTAAAGCCATAGCTTGAGCGGCATCTTGCCTCTTCCAGTACTCCTCTGTGCTCCCTACAAGAGTTATACCAGAGTTCATAATGTTGGCTAGAAACTAATTAAAATATAGAAAAAAGAATTCCGAAAAAATGTACTGATGTAAAACAATATAGCGCTTAAACTATGAAGTCCCTAGAACTTATATACAAAGTTGTTACAAACAACACAAGTAAACAAAAAAATTCATAAATCAACTTTCCACATCTTCTAGATATTGATTCATATTCAATGATGTTTTATTGGGGATCCTCTCTGCAGCTTCTCATCAAACATACAACAACTTTGATAGGATCAGTGCCTCAATGGCAATGCAAACTTTTAAAATCTTAATACTACTTCCACCACTAACGAATCAACTTTTAGTTGCCCACTTTCCTAACCATTCAACAAAGATCTCTGCGCATGTCACAACCAAGGATTAAATTTTTACCTTGTCGTGTACTTATAACATGCCAGCACAATATGGCACAGGGTCCTTGACTGGCACAAGCCAACTCCACAAGCAGAAGTTCATGTTGGCACACCTTAGTCGGCATTATACAGCATGGCCAAAACTAGCAAACTCTCAGAACTACGTCATTACAATTAAATTTCAAATCTTCACATCTTTGTTCCCAGCACCGAGAATAAACTTCAGCCTCTTTACATAGTGAGACTTCAGAGCACTTCACAATATAGATAATAAGTATTTAGATGAAATATTTTTCAGTACAAAATGCTTAAATTTTAGTTACTCAATTTGCTAAGAGTATTTTGCATTCAAGCTAATGTTTACCAAACTGCATATGAAATAACCTGAACTAAATGCATCCAAAAATTACAATACCAATTTCCAGGAACATGGTAGGTGTATTAACCAAAGGTCCGTGATGAGTTGCCTCCAGAGTAATCTGAAAAAAAAAAAAACATCATAACAAAGAGAACATTTTATATCATGACACCACCCAATAAATGTTGCAAAACCAGTAGCAACCACAGAGTAACTGTCAAGCACCAAAAACAGAAAAACTGTTTTCCTTCATTACTTCCCCCTGCATTATTATGTATTGGTTTTACTCTTTGATCTTCCTATGAAGGCCAAATTTTGATGGTCATTTTCCTCGTCTGTTTCACTTTTGTACTAACTACACATGCTAAAAATGAGAATAAATGTCAACCACTATAACCAGCTTCTTTTTTGTAATTAAGTAATCCTTACATTCCAAACTCAGTAAATGGAATGACACTACCCTCAAGTCCTCCCATCATCCTATATACAGTAAACGAGTCACACATATCAAACACAAAGTTCAAAAGAAACAACAGAAACACCTTCAACAAGTTGTAATACTGATACCCTGCTTTATAAGCCTACAAATCTTGTCTTCATTGGCAGACATTCTTAAACACCCACTAACTTCTTTCAACCCAGACTTGATAAACAGCTACAGCAAGAGAGGTGTTTAAAACAAACCCCACTCCCACCACCCTACCCCGACAATTGAAATGTGTGCCATACGAATCAAAATAATCAGCCATATAAAACTGGAGACAGCAAGAAATCATAATTTAATCTAAAATATTCTCTATCCTTTTCAGCTTAACTACTAAATTTCATGGATTTATAGCAGAATCAAAAGCAGCAAGTAGAAGGCGAATTACATTGGTAAACTACTGCTACCCTTAGCCGATCCAGATGACAAATGGAAAAGGAGAATTGGAAGACATATAGCAGCAACAAGAAATCAATCAGATAAGAAAAGAAAAGAAAGCGTACCTCAAACTCCGGGATGAGTCCATTTTCTTGGGCAATCCTTTTCATGAGCCGAAGCCACGGTCCGATCCTAGGATTCGGTGGCCCCGCCCAGCCCGGCCGCCCTCCCTGCGGCAGGGGCTCGCCCTCCCGTACGTGCGGCACACCTTTGGAGATAGAGGAGATCAAGAAGGAATTCGGTCTATGAACAGAGTCGTCATGGGGGAAAGATTTTTAGTACCGATGGGGTGGACGGTGAGGGCGGGGCGGTTGGATACCGCGGTGTGGCGGCTGAGGAAAATGACCTCGTCGACGTGCTCGCCGGTGGCAGCCTCCCAGCGGCGGTCGAGGTAGTCCTCCTCGACGATGCTCCTCTGGTGTTTCAACAGGCGCACCGCCCGGTTCGCGAAGCTCTCCATCCCGGTCTACATTTTCCGCTAGAAGATCCAAATCAAGAGACACCGAGCATGCACGAATCGAAAAGAACAAGGTGAAGAAAGAGGAATTGGCGATCATTGGGAGGGGAACAGACGGCGACGGCAGGGCCGGGGTTCCATCCAGGCATGGCGAGGAAGGCAGAGGCGGGACCGACGGAGGCCGGGTCGGCAGTGGTGGCCACCACCAGCGTCACCATCGTTGCAGCTGCGCGGCTGGGTCTGGATCTCCCGCGGAGGAGGGAAGCGGGCGTTCGCGGCAGGAAGCGACGGCGTCCGACGCAAAGACTTCTCATCCCTTGCTAACTTGATCGAGAGGAGGGCGAGACGGACGAGATCGAGAAGCGGGAGAGAATGGACGGTTTTGGAGCGAACCGTAATAAAAAGGCTTTTCTCGGTCCACGTTCAAACGCTACGATGCGTGTCCACTTGGCATTCCATCATGTGCATGCATGTAATATGCACGAATCGGGCATGAACTACAAAATTGTTTGGGCAAATTGGCAGAGCGGCCCTTATTTCGTTAAAGAAAAATTTTTTTTTCTAAAATATAAAATTATTTTCGACCTCTGTCCCTCGTCGCCTCAGTAGCGGCCACCTCCTCGCCACCATGATGGAGATGATGGCATGGGGAAGAAGCGGCCACTACGATGGATCGGAAGAGCAATGTGAGATTAATAAGTGAATCAGTTTAAATAAACCCCTGTTTTAATTAAATAAATAAATTAATCAATCAATCAATCAAATTCATAAATAAACTATACAGCCTTTTTTACCTAACAGGAATGCACAAATTAGACGGCCGGAAATCACATAATATTTACTTCACGACAACATCATACGTGTGTATAGAGATCAACATTGTAAATGATCATTGTGAAGGTTAATAAGAGACTCGGATCATCATAAACTTCCTAAATATATCATATGATAGAACGTTTTCCACAACATATGCCCACTTGAGGAACAGAAATCAAAGAGTTTCTTACCTAATACTTATGCACAGATTAGACAGAAAACGGATGTGGCGCCCACAACATAAAAGAACCAGCATTACATACCATTTTTGAACATACTTCATTACGTGCATTAATTCAAACATCTCAAACAAAAGCCTGAGATCATCATAGAAAGAGAACAAATGAGGTGGCATCAGAAATCAAAGAGCATCTTACCTAATACTAATGCATAGATTAGACAGAAAACAGATGTAGTGCCCACAACATAAAAGAACCAGCATTATATACCATTTTTGAACATACTTCATTAAATGCATTAATTCAAACATCTCAAACAAAAGCCTGAGATCATCATAGAAAGAGAACAAAAGAGATGGATGATGGATCAGTTTTTGATCCTAATAGAAACAAAAAATTGGAATCAGACACCTATACAAACTCGAGTTCTGTTACTCTACAACACTTCTTAACCAGGTGAGTCAAGGCATTCAGCAATAGCATCTTTGGCCGATCAAAGCAACTCACTGCAGCCATCTACATTTTCATATTTTACCCATTCTAACCACAGTAGAGCATTTCCTGTAGTCAGAGCTGACATCCGTGTTATCATCAAGTCCAAACAGCCTAATACATGCTACATCAAAAAGACAAATGGACCCAAACCAAAAATTAATTCCTCACCCATTTGTACAAATACAACTTCTTCTACTCTAGCTATAGATGTCCATCAGCCGACCTGATACAACCATGGCTGACAACAAAATGCTACAACATAGTGCAAATATACAACAACATTACGCTTCAAAGATTGACACCATCCGACATGCTACCCATCCAGCACTACAATATGATGTACTGTTCGAAACAGCACTTTTACATGGGTCATTGAATGAAGACCAGACAATCATTGAGTAGACAACTGACTCCAGAAAACATCAACATAGGTTTTGAAAAAGATTGAGCATCATGGCATGCAACCAAATTTTACATCGAGAAGAATGCTCAATCATTGCCAATATCTAATGAACGGCTTGGAAATCACCTAATCTATTGACCCGTTACAACAAAAAAAAGAAAGGGTAACTGCCATATCTAAGAAATGAAGTGGGCATCACCCTATCTATCAACCAACAAGAAGAATAAAAACAGTGATTAACAACAACCAAATCCAACATTTCATGGTGTCTGACTAAAGTTACAATCCGACCAGCTCTTCAAGGACCACCATAGTTGAAGTGTGGACCATTTATCAGATTCAGTAACCCTGCAATATCAAGTGCAGCTTTGACACCATGGCATTTGAAAGAAATGTGTAAAAACAAGATAATAGCTCCATGTCTGATTGCATAGCACAACTGATGAAGTGTCTTAGCTAAAAGTTCTATTGGCATAATAATCACACTATTAAATCCCATGTATCATCTCAAAACTTACCACCAAGTAGTTCGTTTTTAGTTTTAATGTGATGCACCAACAGTTCAAGTCACAATCTCAATATCTGGAAGATCTCTGACAGCACGAGGAAGAGCCCCACAAAATGTCGCTCAACTGATACAAGTGTCTTCCGGCTGTAGATGTAACACAACAACAGAGTCAATTATGTATTCTAGCAAATTAGCTCTATCAAGCAATGATATAAAATGAAATTCTTGTTTAGGACCTGAGAGATAAGCTTTACAAATTAAAAAAAAAAATCATGTCGATAGATTAAGTTAAAATGCTCTAAAGAATGAGGATGTTAGGTGTCACGTGCAAATATGGCTACCAAGGTGAAATCAAATATACTCATACAAGATAAGATGGCTCAAGGACTTAAACCAATATCTTATACAGAAAACTGTAACTTGCAAACTTTCAAATACCCTCTCTATCCCCATTTCAGCAACCTGCTTACAGAGTTCTTTATAACTCCATCTGCTAATTTAAATAAAAATGATTACTATGAACAACAAATTAGAAAAAGAATCAGCTTGGATCCACAAAAGAAAATAACAAGTCAGGGCCTCAAAAAAATTAATAGAAATAAAAAACCCAAGAAGCTGCTGCATTTTAACAGGAAATAGTATTTTATTAAAAAAACCTGTTGTTTCTTATTACACAAGTAAATTATATTTAACTTCCGTGCTAGTTTTTGTAATTTAGGCTCAAGATGCTAGTTATCCTAGAAAATCTCAATCTTGACTATCCCAACAAATATCTAATTGTTTCCAACTGAAGTCCAGATGTATCTTCACACACCCAATAAAATCAATCTTACAATTTAATCCAATTTATTCAGGTCCAAAATCCAATGGTCAAATCCAAGTTATATCTCGATACATGAATCTGTGCCCCAAAACACAAAAAAAATCCTATGGATTTTTACATGCATTTTATTTTGCCATAACACAATTAGTATTTTATTGGAAATGGAATGTGAGCAATGTCAGTATATAAGGATCGATGAGCTTACTAACAACTTGGACAAGCATTCCAGCCACAGGCCTCTATATAAGTAAAAATGATAATGGGCCTACCAAAGTTGAATCAAGTCATGACTATATCAGGACAAAACTAACACTGTGAATTTGTAATTAAGTATATTCAAGCAGGAAAGGGCTAGTCACGAAGGGCACAAGAAGTACATTATAGCATTGAGCCACTGCTAGGCCATGGGTCTCACATGTGGTTTGCCAACAAATATTCTGCAAACGTGTTTGACTTTGACATTGACAACAAACCCTTCGGCAGATTATAACACCCAAAGTAGGGATACATTGGAAGTGGAAGTGGACAATGTGGGTGACATGGCATATGAGACTTGATGGGCTTACGAAGTAAATTGGGCTTAAGGAATATTGGTCATGTAGTCAAAGGCCATTTCTATTTGAGTTATCTGCCAACAGGCTCAGTCATGGTGTACACCGTTCACATGTTATCTCAAGGTACCTGATGTGGTTGAGACAATAACCGACATAATAAAGAAAGTCAGGTCTCTTTTCCTCACATAGTGACAAATATTTCAATAATAACCACAAGCTATAAAGTCCCAACTATTTGAGTGGGCAAATATTTCAAATAACAATATTATGCAACATCCATAGTTAACTACACAATTGTAAAGAGATGGTCTCAAGTCGAATATCCTTTATAAGTTTCTGAAGCAGTTAATGTTTCAAGCAGTTGAAAGCATCCTCAATAAGCATAAGCTATAATTCCCAACTATCATGCATATTTACATGCATGAATAATTAAATATTCCGGAAGAAACATAATGAATGTGCATTTTCATGCAACATATACAAGTTATATGTTGCTTGGGTTAAAGAAAGGATCAGTATCCAAGTTCGACTAATAAAAAAAACTATATATAGCTTCCATATTTTTTAGAAAATCTATTTTGTAAAGTTTTTCTGGCATAGGCTAGGTCCAGTGCCTGGAATCACCTAGGCTATTTGATAACTATGATTCAAATATGGCGAGAGAACAATTTCTAAAGAGAGGAGAAAAGAAATTCTAATCATATAACTAAAACACAGAATTCATTTTGATTATTATTGTGAAACACAGGCAACGAGCTTATGTCCAAAACCTTGTGAGTTTCAGCAAACCATGTTCAAATAACCACTGATAGAAAACCAACGCAAAGTAGCAATAAAATATCAGAAAATTAGCAATATAACTAAAAGATAAACTTGAAAGAGCAAAACATGTTCAAATAACCACTGACAGAAAACCAACGCAAAATAGCAATAAAATATCAGAAAATTAGCAATATAACTAAAAGATAAACTTGAAAGTTATGTCTTGCTAATGATGCTAATGAAGTGCAACAGCTACCAAAGAATCATATACCCTAGATGTTGACAAATAGATAGGAAATGAAGGTTAGCTTACTTCTTCAGTAACATGACAAGCAGACCCTTGCAAGGATTATCAACAAGAGGTTTCTTGAACTTGGCAGTAAAGCAACTACTAAAACATATGCTTAACAGCTCAACAACATTCTGAGTTGAGAAAGTTGCACAGGGCCTAAATCATTCAGGTGATGGACGATGCCTCTTGGAATGTTCAACCTCCTGAGACTTGCTATGAGGCCTAGATGATCTTCCTCTGTCCCAGTTATCATTACGCCCTGGCTCACGATCCCTGTGCCTGTGGCGATCCCCATGTCGATCTCTGTCATCTCGAAACCTATCACGTTCACGATCAGGTTCCCTATCTCTTTCTCTATCTCTTTCTCTGTCTCTCTCCCTATCCCTTTCCCTCTCCCGAGAACGATCCCTCTCCCGACCCATTTCTTTATCTCTCCCTGCATCCCTTTCCCTCTCATCAGAGTATCGTCTCTCTAGCCAGTCTTGCCCAGAACCCATATCTTTATCCCTTTCCGCTTTTCTGTCTAGAGCACCATAACGATCCCTTTCGGCCATCCTATCCTTCCCATGGCTCCCTTCTCCATACTGCTGATCAGAAGCAGCATCTTCCCCATAGCTCGCCTGCTCTTCACCTCCCCATCCACCCATATTCGGGTCGGACCACATCCCGATGCCACCAGGTGGCAGTCCCCGCCCAAAGAAAGCAGGATTGACATGGGGAGCCACAATAGGGGGGAATGAAGGCATCATTCCAGGAAAAGGAGCCCCAGTAGCACCCACAGGAAAACCACCAAAGCCAGCACCCATTCTACCCATTGCTGCTCCATAGCCAGTTGGGTCGAACCCTTGACCAAGCATAGCTCCAGGATGCAACATAGGTGGCGGTGGGGCAACCATTCCACCATTGCCCATAATACCCCTTCCACCAACCGGACCCATCCTGTTCCTCATATTACCCATTGGCCCTCGGTTCCCCATACCACCTCTTCCCCAATTGCCACCGCCACCGCCTCCACTACCACCACCGCCACGTCCAAAAGTGCCACCAGCTGAAGGCCCACCACCTCCTCTACCCTTCTGTGCAGGTGCCGGCGGCTGTGACTGGGACGATGCCGGCTGGTTCTTGTTCACTTGGTTCTCACCCATTCGACGAACAGTGTGTGGTGAAGCCAACGCCACAATACATGGTCTACCATTGAACAAATGGCCATTCATACCATCCTTGCAGGCTGCTGCAGCCATTGGATCATGGAAGTCAACCTGACAGTAGCCTTTCGATTTCCCACTCGCCCTCTCATCAAAAAATTTCACTTCCTTCACCTGCCCATACTTGCAGAGCTCTGCCTCCAGCTCTGCATCCGTCGTCCACCAATGGAGTTCCCCGACGAAAAGAGTGGTCCCACCAACTCCTGCTCCGCCACTGCCACCTGCGTCCCCTGCACCATTGGCGACGACTACGCCTCCGCCACGTCCTTGCCTCTGGAAACCCTCGTTCCCATAGCCACCCCCTTGCCTCTGAAAACCCTCGTCGGCGAAGCTGTTGTTCCCATTATGGCCCTGGATCGGGACAGATCTGCCGGCAGACTGACTCAGATCAGCTCTGCCTGCACTCGCCGCCGCTGCCGGTGGCGGGGGAGGAGGCAGCGCCCCCTGTCTCGCCCCACCCACCGGTTCACCGCCTCCACTCACCCGTGGGTCCGGGAAACCGCCGGATCTATCAGAGAAGCGCTCGATCTTCGGCTCCGTGGCGATCCCGGGTATCTGGACCATCTCCGACGGCTCAACCACCGGTCGCGTCGGCGGCGGAGCCGGAGGCGGTGGCGGGAGCTCGCTCCGTCGCTCATCCCGGGCTTGGAACCCACCAGCGTCTTCGCCCCCGTGGAAGGTTTGGTGGAACCCCTCCCCGACGTTAACGTCGCTGTAGAGGTCGTCGTACTCGTCGTCCTCCCCGAAGAACTGTTCCTCGTCCTGGACGGCGGATATCGCCTCGCTCCGGTGGAAGCCCCCGCCGTGCTCCATCAACGAATGGCAGGTCTCCGGTTAGGGTTTCCAAACAGATTGCAACAGCAAAACCCTAATCGTCGAGAGAGAAAGAGAAAGAGAAAGAGAGAGAAAGGCCTTCTGTTTGTCTTCGAAGAAGACCACCAAGTTTCTGTTAATCCTCCGGTCTAATTTAACTAACATCTCGATCGTCACCTATATCCGTCCATCATCGAATATGTACGTTGAGATGTGCGCTCCTTGTAATTGAGTCTCACAGTAAAGAAGTGTCGACGATGCTCTTGCGGGGAAGGAGCCGCAGCCGTGGTGGCGGATAAGTTCGTTCATAAACTAAAGTCAAAAAGATCGTGTCCGTTCGTTCCCTTCACTAGATCGAAACCAACGACGCTGATCTAAGATCTTGCTGCTTCATAGCCTTGATTATTATAGTTGCTTGTTACTATTATATATATATATATATATATAATTCGATATAAAAAAAAGTGAATTAGATAAATCTTGAACTAATATTTGAAGTATAAATCATCGTAGTTAGAGTGAGTGAGATAGATACATAGAATAAAATTTGGAGAACTCAATCTAAGATAAAGGAATCGAATATTTTACAATAAAACAAATATCTAAATTTACAAAATTATAATAGTTGGTCCTTTCTTAGCTAATGCAATGTATGTGTTCAAATACATACATTTACATCAAATCATATATTTGTCATGCAATCATTTTTTTTCTCATTTACTAAGGACACATCATTTGTCATTGATCAATCTTCCAAATTGTATGTTACAATCTTTTATCATTTGTCATTGATTAATCTTTACCTTTCTTCATTCCAACACGCAAAGGATAGATAGATACACATTTGTTAGGAAAGGAAGTTGCATTTGAGCTTCAAATATCATCTCCTTCCAAAGTTTGCTCAAGCATCACTAACAACAAGTTCGACTAAAGCATGCTTAAATTAATTCATGTAGAGTTACAGTGATTACATCAAGTTGCATAGGGATCTGGAGCTGCTGCATGCACCCGTACATTCTGAGTCGCTGCCAAGTGCAAATTTTGCGCCCCCCACCTCTCTCTCTCTATACATTATTAAGCATTGGGTAATAAGAACATACAACCTTATTAATCCCACTCTTTTTGTATATATATATATATATATATATATATATACACACACACACACGATGGAAGATTTCACTCGGCCTTAAAATTTGACAACATGCTTCACAACAATGACCGCTTATGTCCTGCATGAGGCCTGGAAATGGGGAAGAAAACGTTAAAGATGCAGCAGTGAAATGGAAAAGTTTCACATTCATAATAGTACATCAGACTTGTTAATGTCCTTAAAATACAGAACTACTAATTCAAACCTAGATTGATTTGATGCAATTGTGAATACGGACAGTAATATCTTCAGAATCCTAGTAGCCCAAATTGAAAAATTGATTAATTTATACATCTGATACACAGACGAAACAGAAGAATGTAACAAGGTAATGACAACCACTTGATATGACAGTAGTTTCTTTCTGAAACTAAAGGAATCTATTTAAGTTTAGCATGCAGACTTGGAAAAACAAGGTTTACAACCAAGCTTCTGAGTGTGTGTAAATTATCAGGATTAAGAACTTTCATGAAGATAGTCATATTTAGACCTTCAAAAATTTCCATGAATACCAGTACAAACAAGGTATGCATTCTAACAGCAGGCAATTTCTTGCAAAAATTGGAAATTTCATATTTAGAACTTCAAAGATTCAATAACCATGAATACCAGTAAAAACAGAAAAATACCTTATAACATGCCCATGGTTAACCAAGGATGAAGATCGTCAAAATTTGAAAGACAGAAATCCCCACCTCCATATCCTACCCATTGTCATCCTTTACCCACCTGTTTTATTCTTCTAATCCCTTTTAACCACAAAAGAAAGAAAAATGAGAGAACTAAAGAGAATGAGAGGATGGGAAGGAAAACAGTTCAGAAAGAAGAGTGATCAAAGATGGCACACAAGGGAGAGAGAAGAAAGGATATAACAAAAAGTTCAACTTGTGTTCTTTCAAAAATCAGATTGGAACTGTTAATTATGTTGACGGAGCTTGTGAAACTTAACAAATTTTTGAGGTAAATCTTTGATGTTGGAAGCACCTCTCAAAACATCGATTGGCTCTGAATTACTTTCCTGTAAGTCAGAGGAGAGTCACAGCGATGACAAAGGAGGGAGGGGATAATCAATGGAATTTGGACCACTTGACACCACTGCCAAGTAATCACTCCTGTTGCACCTCTTCAGCTGGGGAAAAATGTGAGAGAATAAAATGTTTTTGACATACGGATGAGATCTTCTGACGGACAAAAAAGAACAAAAGAAAAAAAGAAGAAAGGGAAGATCGGAAGAGAAGGGAAAAATATTGTAAAGGTAAAAGGGAAAGGAAGAAATGAAAAGGAAAAACATAATAAAACAAATCAAAATTATTCCTAAAAATTTTAATAGTAATTAATTTTTTATTGTATGCTTCCTATCTTTATTTTTCAAACGTTGCTGCTTGCACAATGCCACACCCACACCCATGTCCGCTTCTACTCCTGTTCCTTGCAATTAGAAGGAATATATGATATCTGAAACTTATTTGAATTCTATATGTATTAAAAGTGCAAGTTTCTTTAGCTAACAACAAAACATAAGATTTCTAATCGCAACATAAAGAAAGACCAGGCTATCACAATGATCATTTCTTTCAACTATATATTGTGTCCATCTTTTTGTCCTTTTCACTGCAATATAAGCAAGTAAATATCACTAATATTCATTATTCATTGCCATATATTTCATCTTCAGTTTGTAACAAGGGTTTTGACTAAGCTTCAGTTTGTAGCAAGTAAATATCACTAATATTCATTTTTCTGAGCAAGTCCAAAGGAAAGATTTCTATGGTCTATTCCCCAAAGAAGAGCACTTGTCATCCTCTACAAACTTCACTATACTCTTTAATTATATATACACATGTTAATTCTGAGTTCATCTTGACAACATATCTTCCATTGTGTTTAGTATATGCACCTATACAAGCACAGTACAGCCATACAAGATTCCTGATACGAGAATATTTCTCATGTTCTAGTTAATCAACAAAGTTTTCTGTTACTAGCTTATGAGACTAAACATGCATGTATTCCCATGAATGCTCCTAGAAAAATGATCGAGAGACACTAAACCTTACCAAAATTAAAAATACTTACACTAGCTCTAAGACAAGTGCAGAAGCTCCCCCACCACCATTGCAGACAGCAGCGACTCCAACTTTGCCATGCCTCTCTCTCAGGACCTAAACAAATAGGAAAGGCAAGCCTAAGTGTCCTCTTCTTAATAGTGAATATCTAGACCAGCATCTTGCCAAACATATTTATGTAATAAAAGTTACAGAAGCAGATGGTTTTTTTTACAACCAATACAATAAGATATTAGCACATGAAATTTACTACATTTGGACATATGAAAACATGCGATTACTGGCATCCAAGATGGTTTTCAAGGAGGAGTGAAGCATGTAATGTCAAATCAAGCTTACAAGCATACCCCAATCAAGGTAACCAGAATACGAGCTCCACTGCAACCTAGAGGGTGTCCCAATGATACAGCTCCACCGTGCACATTAACTTTTTCCTGCACCAGGAAGCAAATAGGATAAACAAATTATTGATAGAACTGTAACTAACAGTAAGATGATTCTACAACCATAAAAAGAAACAAAATAATTTGAATAGCTAGTTTTTCTTGCACATATGTTTAGAAAAACAAAAGCCAAAGGTCTAACACAGAAGGGATCAAACATAAAAGGACAAATTATAGAACTCACTGAAGGAAGAGATAGAAGCTTCTGATTTGCCAAGGCAACAACCTGTGAAAAAGAACAACTTTTAGCCTGCAGTTAATGAGAACGAAAGAAAGAGAGAGATCGGGAGAAAGAGAGACAGAAAGAAGTGGATTCAAAATATATTAGGAGTTGAATAACTTACAGAGAAAGCTTCATTTATTTCGTAAAAATCTATTTGAGATGCCTCCAAGCCAGCATTTGAAATAGCCTTCGGAATTGCAAGTGCAGGTGCTGTAGTGAACAACTCAGGGGCCTACATGAGGAAATCATTTATGAGTTGTGTGTTATGACATTTACTAACTATGACAAAAAGGCTCTTATTTCTTCCTGTCCATACCTGAGCAGCATCAGCATATCCTCTTATCTTTGCAATTATTTGCAGTCCTAGTTCTAGAGCCTTCTCTCCACTTACCAGTACCAAAGCAGCGGCACCATCACTATACCAAAATATTAATTAATAAGTATATGAAACTAAATGGCACCGAAACAGGTTCCTATGATTAACTTGCAATGAGTTAGACTAAGATTAAAAATGAACAGCAACAAATAACAATCAGATCAAGGTTATATCAATAAAGTCCAAAAATTAAAGTCATAAAAAGAATGGAACTTTGTCAATTATATAAATCATACAGATAAAATTTAAGGTGCAACTTTAGATAAAGAGTGAAACCAAAAGGGTGCAAAGGATCTGACAAGTACAAAAGAAAAACAGTTGCAATCATCAAAAGAACCCTAGCTATAGAAATATCACATAAAGAGGATTTGCAACACAAAATAAATTACTTACCATGATCATCTTACTCGATAGAAGCAATGGTGTAATAAAAAAAAAGATAGTCCAAATAATACAACAACAAAATACCTTATACTTGATGCATTTCCAGCTGTTACTGTACCACCATTCTCCTTAAAACTTGGTCTGAGCTTCCTTAGTTTTACAGGATCAAACTAGCCAAACAGAAAATATAGACAATATTGTCTCAGAATTACTGAAAGATTTATGCATAAGAAGGATTGGCATTTAATAACAAAACCACCATACTAGGCATGCAAGAAAAATAACAAAAACATACACACTCAGTGTGCAAAATATATAAAAATATAAAGAACTCATAAAGACATCCACAAGGATACATGATCAGTGATTTTTAATAAAAGAATATTCTGATGGTAGGGTTTGCATTTTCACTAATCCAGTTAAGTTTTAAATTTTCTAAATACAACCAGATAAGAAAGGTAAACACACGAAAGAATTTCTTTCCATTCACTTTTTCTTGGCCTTCAAGTCAAGCTTATAACTTTGAACCTTTTCTTTCTCATATTCAAGTGTTTTTCTTTAAAGATGGTGTTGATTGGAAGGGACTAATAGCAAAAGTAAAAGTAAAGCCTACCTAAACCTGTATTCTTAATTTGCTTAAACTATTAAAATTGAATCACTGGTCATCACCTAATATTTTGACCTAGATGAGAACTTGACTATTGATGCAGAGTCAATCATTTAGAAAATATAGATATGAACTGAAATGACATGAACTATATTACTTTCTCATAGTATCTTGTTAATTCTGGAGAACTGCCTCTTGTGTCATATCAAATCCAACTTATCTTGACATGTTAAAACATAAGGATAGTAAGAAACTACCATCCATATGTTACACATGTTAGTCCAGAAAATGTCCACAATTACATCTAAATTGTCAGATGAAATTTTCCGGATGAAATATAAATTCAGTTCTATTTGTGTCTGATAATCTAAATATACTTGCCTACATTGACATAAAAAGGTATTTACTCTATTTCTCTAGGTATAATGTTTTTTTTTTACTTTCTTAAAATGGATCTTTTCCTTCTCACATTTGCTTGCTGGTCTATGTTTCCATAAGATATCACTGACAGGTTCGATTTGACTTAAATATTTGTTGCTAAAAAATCTATTCATGCAAAATATTCATATACATATCCACACTAATCTCAGTTAGATTCTGATTAAATATCCCATTTGTATCCGTAGCTCAACAAAAGGTAAGATGATTTTCTGTTCAGTATCATATTTTGCATGTTTGTATATCTCCACTCTGTATCTGAACAAATTTCACCCCTAATCAGACCATGGATGTGTCAATTTTCATTGTCGTGAAACTTAGATCCTAAGGATTGAAGGTTAGCATCATCATATTTGTCTCCCATAATCATCATGATGGTAATAAAGAATTGTTGGTGTCACAAAAATCAAACACACGAAACAGAATTTCATGTGTAACCAGGATCTTTGATCCTAAGGAATGAACGTCAGCTTCTTCATCATATTGTATCCTATGATCATCATGATGTTAATCCAGAATTCTTGTTGCTCACACAGAAATCAAATGCTCTGCAACAGAACTTAATGTCTAACCATGATGAAGGAGACTATCCTTCAATTCTCTAAAGAAGTATATTTGTTTTCAATGATAACCAGTCACATCCATATTTCCCTCATTTCTTAATTACCTGTAACTTAAGAAAGAAGCTAGAAAGATCTTCACATGGAGAGAATTGATAAATTACCATTCAAAACAAGATTGACAGACATTGAATTTTTAGAGTTATCTGATAATTCAACATTGTGCTTCCAATTTTGTGCATTAATTCTGGACGGGATCTACAAGATGTTTACTTATTAAAGTTCTAAGTTTAAAAGAGAGGATATTTAGTTTTCTTTGAAAATATAAAGCTAAAGGTAAGGTATAGTATTTTTCTTTTGCTTATCTGTTGTGAAGAGTTTCAGCCAAAATTTTTTATAATTTCATACCAGCTTATGCACTAAAGCATTGTACATGACATTGTAATTCTTGGTGTCAAGTAAGGACCTTAAAATTCTAAAAATATCAATGTCTTGTTGTCAAATTGTACACAAAGAAAAATTATTAAATTTTGATAACAAAGAATGCTCAACTGGAAAACATGATAAAACATAATATAATAATTCAGTATTACCCATTTCTATTGACATGTCATCTTAAAAAATCTAACCTATGGGTTGTGTTTACTACTGGAAAAACTTCAAAAACTTACTATCTAGAACTTTTCTCCATTAATAATGCATACAAAATCCATTACTGTAGTATGATGTATGTGAAGTGTTGTATTGCACTAAGAAACATTTGCTCCCACAACTTGAGGACTTTACTTTTTCAAGACTTTCATCCTTGTCAATAATCACTGATGGTCTTCCTCTGCCTGCAGAAACTTCAATCTACAAAACATGACAACAAAGGAAATTGGTGAAACTTTCAAGTATTAAATTTTCATTTTAATTTACCATAGTGAGAGATTTTTAACTGGAGCAATTTCCCATATGAATGCACCACTATCCTGAGCAGCTATTCCATGCTCATTGCTTCGAATAGCATAAGCATCCTAAAGGAGCATAGTGAAGATAAAGAAGTCATGCTTCTGTGAAAGTGACGTGTAAAACAAATTCTATAATTATATAAACCAGGTAGATCTAACAAAAACATTCAGTTAAGGGAGGGCAATTCAAGCATTTAACTGCCAAAAACTTTTTTTTTTTTGCATAATTCTGAGACAAATACAGCTACTTTATAATCATGGCCTTGAAGCAACTTCAGAATTTAGATAATAATTAAACAGTTTCAATTGATGAGCTGAAAACATCATAACATATCAGTCAAGTTTTAGAAGACAATCCATTTCTCAGTCTTTCAGATAATTAAAAAATCTACTCAATTCCAAGAAAATCAGAAATAAATATATACGGTTCCTGCTTCCTACAGACAATTGCACTACATTGCATAGATGGAATGACACTCAATTGAAGGTAATAAAACAAAGGATCAAAATATATGAAGATCTTGATCGAGAACCAAGGAACACTGTAGTATTGTTAACATGACAATCTGTAAAAATATATGGAACTAGATATCAAACAGCACAAAGGAAAAAGGTCAAAAATATTTTGGAAAAATAAAACTATCTGACAACCTGCTTATTTTTGGAGAAACATGTCATAGTGCCTTTTGCTCATAAGTGTGATAACAAAATATTGTGTCAGCATCAGGTTAGCAGCTAGTATAAATGTGTTTGGCCAAGCCAAACTAGCAAGCTATTCATGAAACAATACCAGGTTATACAATAATTCATTAAGCCGACACATGTTTTATGCCTCAGACCAAGGTTCGCCGTACCGTACCGTACCGACGTTTCGACCCACGCTCGGTACGGTACGGTACGGGTGTACCGAGCACTGTAGCAGTACTGCTACAGTACCGGAACGGTAAGAGGCGGTCCGCGTACCGAAAGTCTGTCGGACCGGTACGTACCGGGCGGTACTGTTCGGTACGGCAAACCATGCCTCAGACAATAATCAAGGACTATATTTCATTTCAAATTAGCCTTCCTAACTTCCTATGGGTGGATTTTAGATTATAAACATTAATGATCCTATCCATCCATCATTTTAAGAACTCCAAGAACATAACCGAATATAGTGATCACAATTATCTGACAATAGAAGTCGACTATTTGAAAATAATTTTTGATGGCAAAAAAGAAAAGCAGTTCATCTGTAATGTGCTTCTCTATAGGTACCAAGTAACCATGTAATTTGACAGCATAAACAATGAGGAAGCCAAAACATGAAGTTATTTCCAATGCAACTCTTGATGCCCCACAGTTGAATTGTAACACAAATATCCTTGCCCTTTTTTATCAAATATGTTTGTTCTTGAAGTACCAACCACTAAGATTTCCTAAGATTCCTTCATTTAACAAATTGCTGGTTTGGAGTCTTGTAGCCTACCTGATAAAAGACCTAGCAGTTTACTAAGTTATCCATGTGCATCAACTATCAAGGTTAGTCAAATGGAATCCTTTGACCATCATAAGTTTTATTCACTCCATATGTCAGTTCAAGTTATGCATCTTACCTCTGTTTTGCTTTGAGGAAATCCGGGAACTTCCATATCTTCTGTTGCTAACATCTGCTCATCCTACAGATTATTAGAGTTCTATCATTAATTACTAGCTTCCAAGAACTACCTAGTCCCGGAAATTCTACAACTTGTTTTGCAAGCCCAGCACACACAGGAACAAGGCACAAGCAGTCTTTTTAGTCTGCTGATTTGTTTTTAGTATAGAGCTAGGTCGTCATGAACATGGATTTTAACCGATTTCAGTATAAAGCTAGGTCATCATGTCAGAGCTAATGAATATGAATCTTAACTGATTTCAGTATAGAGCTAGGTAGTCACTCGGAAGTGACACAAGACACCTTCACCACCTAGGTGCCCCGAGTTACAAACGATGGGCTAGGAGGTCGCCCAAAAGCAGTTCATCACATCGGCGCCCGGATGTGGCGCTAAGTAGGTAAGGGTTCTCTCATTGTTTTGGACCAATAGGAGTAAAAAAATTAGTCCCAGAACAAAGTGTTAGGTTAGCAACTTGGAATATTGGAACACTTTCAGGGAAGGGATTAGAATTTGTAGACACTATGATTAGAAGAATAAATATTATTTGCTTACAAGAGACTAAGTGGGTAGGGGAAAAATCTACAGAAATTGATAGTAATAGATTTAAAATTTCATATATTAGAAAAGTTAATCATAGAAATGGTGCAAGAGTTGTTATTGATAAGGATTTTAAGAACAATGTTGTCGATATAAAAAGATTTGGAGATAGAATTATAGTTCTAAAATTTATGAAAGGATAAGATGTTTTGAATGCCATTAGTGCATATGCCCCTCAAGTCGGGTTGGATGATCAAACCAGAAAAAATTTTTAGAAAAGCTTATATGATATCATTCAAGGAATGCCTATAATCGAAAAACTTATAATTAGAGGAGATTTAAATGGTCATATAGGGAAAACATATGATGAATACAAAGGGGTACATGAGGGCTTTGTTTATGGGGAGAGAAATAAAGATTGTGGTATGATTTTGAATTTTGCAACTTCGTATGATCTTATAATTGTAAATACTCACTTTAAAAAGAGAGATGAACATTAAATTACTTATAAGAATGGTCACAACTATAGTCAAATAGACTTTTTTGTCATTAAAAAGGTAAACAAAGTTATTTGTAAGAATTGTAAAGTTATACCTGGCGAAAGTTTGACGAATCAACATAGGTTGATGGTCTTATATATTTACCATAAAAAAAGCAAGAAAAAATAAAAAAAAGATAGTAGAAAATATTACTAGGACTAGATGGTAAAATTTTAAAGATGATAAGGTAAACAATTTTAAGAATAAGGTGGAAAGGGAGGCGACTTGGAACTTAAATGAGGATAATATTAATATTATTTGGACTACAATAACTAATAACATTAGGAGCTTAACAAAAGAGATTCTTGTTGAAACTAAAGGTATAGGTATCACCTTAAGAGAGAGTTAGTGGTGGTGCAAGGAAGTTTAAAAAATAATTTTTACTAAAGAATCATGTTTTAAAGATTGACAAAATTATAGAACTAAGAAAAAAATTTAAAAGATATAAAGAATCTAAAAAAGAGGCTTAAAATAGCGATTAGTATGACAAAGATATAAAACTTATGATAACTTTTATAATAAACTAGGTACTAAAGATGATGAAAAAGATATATATCGAATTGTTAAAGCTAGGAAAAAAGTACAATAATTTAGGTAATATTAGATACATTGAAGATGAGGATCAAAAAATACTTATTAATGATAAGAAAGATGAAAAATTATTTTTATAAATTATTTAATGAATATTCCACATAGGCCTTAGATTTAACGATAAATAATAATGGTAGACTTAATAATCATAGATTTATTCGTAAAATTAAAACTAATGAAGTAAAAGGCGCATTAAAGATGATGAAAATAGCTAAGAGCATGGGCCTAATGGTATCTCTATTGAGATCTGAAAAAGTTTAGAGGATAAGGGAGTAGCTTGATTAACTAGTTTATTTAACAAAATCATGAGATTTGATGGGATACCTGATGGATGGAGAAAGAGTTTTTTAGTGTCAATTTACAAAAATAAGAATGACATACAAAATTGTTTAAATTATAAAGGAATTAAAATCATGACTCATACTATGAAACTATGGAAAAGAGTTACCAAAAGTAGGATAAGACTTTAAACCAAGGTCTTCAATTTCAAAAAATACTGCCCGATACGGGCGATACGTACCGGTCCATCAACAAACCGGTACACGGACCACCTATTATCGGACTATATATATATATATATATATATATATATATATATATATATATATATATATATGCGACGTTGCCGAGCCTGGGGAGAAGAGAGAGGCGACGTCGCCGAATTTTTATTTTACATATATATATATACACATACATATATATACACATACATATATATACATACATATATATATATACATACATATATATATATATATATACCTATACCGAACGGTATACCGCTTGGTATACGGTATCGTACTGTACCGAGCGAATGTCGAAACTCCGGTACGGTACGATATTTCAATCCTTGCTTTAAACAAATATCTTTGAAAATTAATTTTGTTTTATGCTCGGAAGATAAACCATAAAAGCTATTTATTTATTAAGATAATTAATAAAGAAATATAGGGAGAAAAAGAAAGATTTGCATATGTTTTTTATTGACTTAGATAAAGCCTATAGTAGGGTTCCTAAAGATTTATTATTATGAGTTTTAGAAAAGAAAGGTATATCCACTAATTATATTGATGTTATCAAAGATATGCATGATAATGTAGTTACTAGTGTTAGAACTATAAGAAGTGTGTCTAGTAAGTTTCCTATTATCGTTGGATTACATCAATGATCCGCATTAAGTCCATATCTTTTCACATTGATAATGAATGAACTTACTAGTCACTTTCATGATAAACCTCCCTGGTGTATGTTATTTGCTAATGATATTGTTTTAGTTGATGAAAGTCTAAGTGCAATTAATTATAAACTTGAGCTATGGAGGCAAGCCTTTGAAACTAAAGGTTTTAGATTACGTATGACTAAAACTAAATATATAAAATATAATTTTAGTGATTCTAGAAATAGACAAGAGAATATAGTTAAATTAACGGATAAGATGTCCTTTTAAGTAAAAGTTTTAAGTACCTTAGATCAATTATTCAACAAAATGGAGAGATCAATGAAGATATTATTCATAGAGTAAAAACATGATCGTTAAAATGATGAGGGGCATCAAAAGTCTTGTGTGATCATTGGATACATTCGAGATTAAAAAAAAAAATTATAAGATAGTTATGAGACCAACAATGCTTTATTAATATATATTAAGCAGTTAAGAAAAACCATATACAAAAAAAGTATATGTTGTCAAGATGAGAATATTGAGATAGATGTGTGAAATTATTTGTAAAAATAGAAAAAATACTTTTATTCATGAACAACTAGGTATCGCTTCGATAAAAGAAAAGATGAGTGAAAATCGTTTAATATGATATGAGCATATGCTGAGGATACCTCTGGATGCGATAGTCAGAAGAGGTAAAATAATTAATATTAATAATATGAGGTGAGATAGAGGAAGACCTAAAAAGACTTTAATATAAATTATAAATAAAGATTTAAGTACTATGAACTTAACTTAGTATATAGTTTTTTACAGACCTCAAAGATGACAATAGATCCATGTAGCCGACCCCAAATAGTTGGGACGACTTTATTGTTGTTGTTGTTGAATCTATTTGTTTTTATCCAATGAACCGTATGAAGCAAACTAGGAACAAATACAGGAAAAGATATGAAAAACACAAGCATGTGTGTATGATGACACAAAAAGTACAATCATGGTAAAATGTGCAACCATGTAATTGATAAATTTGCAATATCCAGCTATATATGCTCCATAAAAAAATTAATTCAAGCCTTATAAGTCTCATAAATTAGTTATAAAACTAACATGAAAGGACACTAAAATGGTACAAAAAAGAAAATCACCTGCTCTTCTCTTGTTATTGAATGATGATCAGCACATATTTCACCACATATTCCCATGGAAACATTATTATAGACATCCCACAGACCATCTTTGAGCATCCCATCAACAAGACTATCATGTCCAAATCGAGACCCTTTTCTGTGTTTATTCAAACATAGCAAAAAGATTATCAGAGTCAAGATAAGCATAGAATAATGATCTCCTATTGCCAACACATCAAATTAAGTGTCCCAACAAAAAACCAATGTCAGATTGAGATCGAGGATTACCTATGACAAACCTAACATGAATCAGATGATATTCATTTCAACTTAATAATTAAGGACCAAGAAACTTCAAAAGTGTCTTTTATTAATTGTAGATGACTTGCCCTTTGACAATTATGAATTTGTGAAAACAAATCCTATAAAACATGAATAAAGAATAAAGTCCAATGTGTATAATCGCAGAACTTATTTATATATCTACATATATATATGCCCAAATGTCATGGAGCCTGCAGTAACAGTTAGAAGGGGGGACACATGAGAATACCATAAAACTTCTTTTTTTGTTTATTCTTTTTACGTACTATTTTTCACAGAAATAGTATAGGTCAGCAAGCATCCATGATAAAAAATCAATGTGTCACATTTAATGATTGTCCCAATTTGTTTACATAGAGGTAAACCAGAAAAATCTAAGTAGCAGTCCTCATGATTGGCTACATATGCAGAACCAAATTTCTAGATGCAAGAAAAAGGGAAATCCAAGTGGCTAACCGTGCTTCTGCAATATACTTGGGGGCATTGGACATGCTCTCCATGCCACCAGCTACAACTACATCATTAATACCCAGCTCAATGCTTTGTGCTGCAAACATTGTAGCTGTGATGCAGAAGAGTAAGTACGTCACTCATGAGACATTCCTACCAAACCTACTTATTCAAGCTGGCCAGATTTTTACCTTTCATTCCGGATGCACAGACTTTGTTTACAGTGGTGCAGACAACTGTATTTGGTATCCCAGCACCTAGAGCAGCCTGCCTAGCGGGAGCTTGACCTAGATTTGCACTCAAGACATTGCCAAAAAAGACTTCTTGCACTAGGGCTGGATCAATGTTTGCCCTTCTAAGAGCATCTGAGAAATCACAACAACATTCCAGTATGTCAAACAGGTTACAAAAGTAAAGGAAATAAAAGTGTCAGAAAGATAATAGCTTTAATCATACATTTGATGGCCATAGACCCAAGTTGCATTGCCGACAAAGAAGACAGAGCACCGAGAAACCCACCCATCGGTGTGCGTGCAACACCAACAACACAAACATCTGTTCACAAGACAAACATAGCAAAACAAGATATAACCATCAAATATTTTAAAATTATATAATGACAAGACCATTTATCATGCATCAATCTGTACATATATAGAGAGAGCCCAGCTTGCCTCAGGTCGATCTGCTGTTATGTCACTATTTTAAAATCTTTCAAAAATAGCAAAGGAGAATAAAAAATTAAATTATCTAAATATCTAAGTTTAATTTATACCCTCTAAAGTGTATCCGCATAAAATATCATGACACTTCAAGCCCATTTGCCTGTCCACTAACTTGTCCTGTATTTTTTATTTATGTGCCACATAATTGATAGGTAAATGAATATGGAATCTCATGATTAACAATAAAGGGAGAAGCCTAGAGAATTTATAATCACTTTGATAGTCAGATCACTGATTATAATATCGCTTTCTATCAAGTTGATCATTAATTTGACCAACCTAGAAAAATCATGAATTCTGGTCGACTTGAGACTAGTCATGCTATACATACAACATCAAAAACAAACATAATCATATAATCTTCCAAGACTTAGGAGTTTAGTTACATTATTTGTTACGTATCAGTTATCTTCATGAATTGATAAAATGGAAAAGTGAACTTATGAAATTGGTAAAAAAAGAGGGAAAATATGTTCCTTGGCATTTGGCAAAATACAGAATTTTGGCTCTCGACCTTTAAAGAAAAAGCATGTAAATATAAAATCTTTCCTTTATTTGAATAACTTACATCACAGCTACACTGAGTCTCAGATAAGTGATGCTCGAGATCCTAATTGTTGTGTCTACATTACTCTTCTGATTCAATTTCATGAACTACTAACTTGCAAAGTTACATAGAGTAACTCAATTGGTCACAGGATATAACCTTGTCTATTCTGTTGGTGTTATTAACTGATGCTCAGGAAGTGGTAGTATAGTAGATAAAAACCAGCATGCCTTAAGCATCTAGGTCTGCAGATATAAGTAATGTCAGGATGCTTCTCTTCCAAGTATCAATCATAAATGGCAACAATTGTTCATAGAAATTGAAAGAATTATTAAAAAAACTCCAGAAATGAATACTGGAGCAAAACTAAGACTGAATTCTCAAACAACCTATGCATGCTACAAATCTTGAAGCAACAAACTGTCCCATTTTGCTTCCACCTACTGCTACTCGACAAAGAAAATTCTGCAGTAAATGGTTTGATATGGCTCGAAGCTCAAGCCTAGATAGGCTCATGCAATTAGGTTATAAAACTCTTGTTTCATCTAATCTGCATCTTGATTCAAGCCAAAAACCACAAAAGGGACTACAATAAAGCATAAAAATGAGCAAAGAAAAAGCTAAAATAATCTAAGAGGAATATTAATATATGTATATGTACATATATATATATATATATATATATATATATATATGTATATATATGCATATATATGTATACATATATATATGTATATATATATGTATATATATATATATATGTATATATATACATATATATGTATATATATACAT